CCCCCCCCACTCCGTCCCCTCCGTCATGACAGCGCTCTGCCGCCACCTCCAGGGAGTAGGACCAGGGGAGGGGGTGAGGCCAGCAGTGCTGGCCTTGCCCCGTCTCTGTCCTTGCCAGCGCTCCACCACCTCCAGGGATCAGGGTCAGGAGGGAGGGTGACCCCGGTTTGTGTGTCCGGGGTCTGGAACAGACTTCCCCCCAGAGGTGGAAATGTTCCCTACTCTGGAAACATTCAAAAAACATCTGACCCCACTAATCTTCCCTGCCCAAGTGCAGGGGGGCTGGACCCAATGATCCGTGAGGTCCCTTCCCATCCCTGACAACTATGAATCAATAACCAACATGCCCGCTACATATCCCAGCAAATGCCCACATCCCTAATGGCTCCCTGGTGCTCTGTGATCTAGAAACGGCTAGTTGATTGAGTTCAGCTGGAGACAAAGCCTGCTTTCACTCGGTTTGATTTTCCCCCTGCCCAGGAGCGGCAGGAGGCTGCAGACTGGGACTGCAAGACCCAGGACAGGCCCGTGGTTGGGGGCCAAGGCACAGCTCTCCGAGGAGGAGGCTGCATCTGAGCAGCTGCCCCTTCAGTCCCAGTGCGGAGCGGTGGGTGGCGAGTCGACGTGGGTCCTGGTGGCCGGAGCCAAGACCTCGCCTGCGGCCCCTTGCCCGGCAGCTGCCCCCACTTCCACAGGGCTCCTCACCTGAACGACCCCGTCAGCACAGCGAGACAGCCCAGGCTCCTGCTGTGCGAGGCAGCCCCGACACCCGGCCCCGACACTCCGCTCCGCTCCGCTCCGCTCCTCGGGGCCGCTGCAGCTCTGGGCGGGCTGCTCTGGTTGCCAGGACGCGGTTGCCATGGGCCGGGGCCGCCCCCGCGGGGAGGAAGGGGAAGGGGCCCGGCCCGACGCCTGCGCGGCGCCGCAGGGAGAGCGGAGCAGCCGTGCCCCAGCCCCTGCCTGCGCCACGGAGACGCCCCACTGCTGCAGCCCTTCCTCGGGGGCTCCGGACGGCCGCGCGACCCCCCAGCGCCTCCCGCCCGGCAAGGTCCGAGCGCAGGGCCTCCCTCCGCCGCAAAACGAGCTCCCGCCCTCGCTCCAAGCCGGGCGCCCGCAGAGGTCGTGCACGCCCGGCCCAGCAGTCCCTCCCCCCGGGCAGTGGGATGGTCCCGCCGCCTAGCTGGAGTGGAAAAGCACGGTGCTAGGACCCGGTACTGCATCACCACCCCCCAACAGCCATGCTCCCGACTCACTTGCATTACTGCCAGCAGGAGCCCCGTCCTCCTAAGAAAAGGAGGTACTTCCGGCGGGGGGAAGGC